ACAGGCTTTCATTTTACTCACTTGGCAGGACGGTAGTACCTCCCTGGGCGGTTGCTGTCTACCAACCTACTACCTAGTTAGCTTTTCTTATCCCCTTTTTAACATCCCTCTTAATGTCAATGTACTGATTCATAAGATGACCTTCACCTCTTTTTGATACGTCTAAAAATTCCTTTCTTCTACCCTAAAAGATATTTGAGCCTATTATTCATCCATTTTGGGTCATTTCTATTCGATCTAATTTCCTTATATGGGATAAATGTTCTTTGGGCAGCATGTATTGTGTTAAGAAAGCTGTCATACTGAGCTCTCTTTGTTACCCCAGTCCTCAGATAAGTGTTCTCTAAGCCCATTGTAATCTGCTAAGCGAAAATTTGGGACCATTACTGAATTATCCCTACTGTCATACTTCCAATCAATGCTAAAGGTAATTGATTTGTGATCACTTGTGCCGAGTTCCTCTGTAATTTCTAAATTATTAACAAGGGTTTCCTTGTTTGCCAGAACCAAGTCAAGCAGGTTATTTCCCCTTGTAGGCTCTGTCACAAACTGCCTCAAAAAACAATCTTGAACTACTAAGAAGTCGTGAGATTCTAAATTCCCAGTTAGAAAACTCCAATCAATATTACTAAAGTTAAAGTCCCCTAGAATTACAACGTTATCGTGCCTTGTGGCCTTAACAGTTTCCTCCCAGAATAGTCTTCCTTGGTCTCTATCCAAGTTTGGTGGACGATATATCACTCCTAAAATAAATTTTTCATGCCCCTATGAAAATTCTATCCAAACAGACTCTGTATGTGTTACTTCAGACTTAATACCTGTTTTTATGCAACAGTTCAAGCAATCTCGGACATACAATGCCACCCCCCCCGTTCCCCATACTTCTATCTACTTGGAACAGTTTGAAACCCTGAATGTGACATTCTGCAGGCATGTCCCAACTTTTTGAATTAAACCACGTCTCAGTTATGGCAAATACATCAATGTTACCTGCACTAGCAACTAATCTCAACTCGTCCATCTTATTCCTAGCACTACGGCTATTAGCATAATATACATTGAAAGACCCTCCTTTCTCTTTACCTTTCCTACTCATTTCTGTTTTTCTACTAAACCTATTACTGTCCTTGTCACCTAGTGCCACTGGCTTTCCAATATCTACCTTGTTCTGCTTATTACTAGTTACCCTAGAACTCATAATATTACTACACTGGGACTTCACTGTTTTCCTGCCAAAACCCATACCACTAACTCTTCCTAGTTTAAAGCCCTAACAGCTCCCTCCACTGCAGTTGCCAGTACCCCCACCCCAGACCTAGATAAGTGAACCCCATCCCTGGCATACATGTCATTTCTGCCATAGAAGAGGTCCCAGTTGTCAATGAATGTTACTGCATTTTCCTTACAGTATTTGTCCAGCCAGCAGTTGACACCAATTGCCCTGGACAACCATTCATTTCCAACTCTTCTCCTTGGCAAAATACCACATATGACAGGGTTCCCACCCTTCTTCCTAATTATTTCTATTGTTGACCTATACCTGCTAATCAGGTCCTCACTCCTACGTCTGCCATCATCGTTGCCTCCCGCACTGAGGCAGATAATAGGATTGCTCACATTATCTTTCATGATGTTGTCCAGATGGCTAACAATATCTCCCATCCCAGCCCCAGAAAAACATACCCTCTGCCTCTTCTTCCTGTCCCTAAGACAAAACTCCCTATCCATAAACTTAACCTGACTGTCTTCAACTAAAACAATGTTCTTACCTTCACTTGTGGAATTCGTCGTGACGTTCTCGATGGCCTTCGTTGGGGTTTCTGGGGATGTTTCACTCACGTTTGCCAATGCTTCCTTGGTGCTCGTTGTGACGTTCCCAGTAGACGACCCACATTCGTCAGGTAGCACCAAAAATGGGTTGGAAGTTTCCGCAGTAGTTTTCTGGTTCTTCGTTGTTGCTGCCTCTCCATCAGTCTTCTTGATCCTCAGCTTGGTTCCATGTTGTGCAGCCACTGACCAGGTTACTCTCGTAACATGAGGACTCTCAACAGGATTACTACGAATCCTCTTGTTCTCCTCCGTTAGTCGCCGTATCTCCAGCTTAGCAGCCCTAAGCTCTTCTTAGCTGCTGGTAGAGTTGCTCAAGAGAGGGCATCCTGGTTCAGATTCACAGAGAGCACACAAACAAGTCTTCACAGAGCTAAGTACATGTCACCACTGGAGCTAAGTACACGTCCTAGGAAAATACTATGATAATGGCATTCACATTGCTGAACTCGGCAGGATGTACAGGAAGTCGCCATAAACAATCAGCTCCATTGTGGCAAAAAGAAAAGAAATCATGGAAGCTGATGTTGCAAAAGGGGTGAGTGTGATAACCAAACAGAGATCCTAAACAATTGAAGAAGTGGAGAAATTGTTGATGTTGTGGATCAGAGAGAAAGAGTTAGCAGGAGATAGTGTTGTGCAGTCACTTATTTGTGAAAAGGCAAGACAGTTACATGATGACCTCTTAAAGAAACTGCCTGAAACAAGTGCTCATGTAGATGAATTTAAGACCAGCAAAGGCTGGTTTGAAAAATTCAAGAAGTGAAGTGGCATACACAGTGTTGTAAGGCACGGCGAGGGTGCCAGGTCAGACAAACAAGCTGCTAAAAAATTTGTGCAGGAATTCAAATGTTATGTAGAGGCTGAAAAATTCCAACCCCAACAAGTGTTCAGTTGTGATGAAACGGGCCTCTTTTTGAAAAAAATGCCAAAGAGAACCTACATTATGCAGGAGGAAAAGGTACTCCTAGGACACAAGCCTATGAAAGACAGGTGAACTCTCTTGTTGTGTGGTAATGCTAGTGGGGATTTCAAAGTGAAGCCTTACTGGTGTATCACTCTGAAAATCCCAGTGTGTTCAAGAAAAACAGTGTTGTCAAGAGTAAGTTGTGTGTGATGTGGAAGGCAAACAGTAGGGCATGGGTCACAAGGGAAATTTTCTGGAGTGGTTTAACCCGTAAACGGTCCAAGCAGATCTACGTTCATATGCGTAGTGCTCCAAAAGTAGATCTACATTTTTTTTACATATTTTCAAATATAACAAAAAAAAAAAAAGTAGATCAAAGTTTTTTTACACGTTTTCAAATGTAAAAAAAAAAAAAATTACTTTTTTACATACTTTCAAATGTTGAAGAAACGTATATATACGTTTGGACCCGTGTTTGGCCCCAGTGTGAAAAAGTACCTCCTGGATAAGAAATTGCCACTCCAATGCCTCCTGTTAATGGACAATGCTCTTAATAAGACAATGTCTAAGGAATTCAGTTTTGAAACAGTGAAGTTCTTGCCTCCTAACACCACTCCTCCCCTCCAGCCCATGGACCAGCAGATCATTGTGAACTTCAAAAAACTGTACACCAAAGCAATGTTTCAAAGGTGCTTTGAATAACCTCGGACTATGAATTGACCCTAAGAGAATATCACATCAATATCTTCCACTGCATAGGCCTTATAGATAAGGCTTGGCAGTGAGTGACTTCCAGGATGATGAACTCTGCTTGGAGAAAATTGTGGCCAGATTGTGTCCAAAAGAAGGATTTTGAAGGGTTTGAGGCTGACCCTGTCGACCCTACACCTGTTGTGTAATCAATTGTGACATTGGGGAATTCCATGGGGTTGGATGTGAAAGAGTTGGTGGAGGATGACAATGAAGAGCTAACCACTGATGAACTGCAAGAGCTTCATCTGCAACAGCAACAGACCACAGCTCAGGAAATTGCTTTAGAGGAGGAGGAAGAGAGATGGAAGAAGGTGCCTTCTTCAAAGATTAAGGAGATTTGTGCAATGTAGACTAAAGTGCATTCATTTGTGGAGGAACATCATCCTGAGAAAGCTGTTGCAATCCATGCTGGTGACTTATAATGACAATGTCATGTCCCATTTTAGGCAAATCTTAAAGAGATGCCAGAAACAGACCTATCTGGACAGATGTTTTGTGCGACAGGGGTCCAGTGACTCTCAAGCTGGTCCTAGTGACAATAAAAAACAAAGGAGGGAAGTGACCCCAGATAAGGCCTTGGTACCTAGAGTCCTTCCAGCAACAACAACCTTCAGTAAAGGCAAGTGTCATGTTTAATGTTCATTCTTTTGTGCATGTAACTATTTTTAAGTTAAAAAAAAAATTTTTTTTGTTGATACTTCTGGGTGTTTGGAACGGATTAATTTCATTTACGTTATTTCTTGTGGGGAAAATGGTTTCGGTTTTGGCCAGTTTCAGTTTTGGCCGATGGCTCAGGAACGGATTAAACACGAAAACCAAGGGTCCACTGTATTTTTATTTAGTAGATGTTTTGCCAACCAGTGGCTTTACTAATACAATACAAGGACACAAACAGACGACTGAAGAAAAGTAAGTCTTGCAGAATTGTATACAGAAAACAGTAGATGATGAGGTAATTAGTCCTTCAGCCTAGGAGCAGGTGTTAGAGTACCATTCTACAAGACTATGCTCCCTATTGAGGAGATGGTCCATTGGTGATTATTGGATTAGATTTGTGTGAATCACTAAACCACTGTGGATCATTCAGAACAATGACTGGCAGAGGCTAGATCTGATGTCTGCTAATCATGAGATAGATAATATTGTCATTTACTCAGTTTTTTTTTGTGTATATATGCTGACAAACAGCATGACTTAGTGAAATGTGTTAAAATTAAAACATTTAAGATTGTAATTGACATTTTTATATAATAAAGTGTTGTGTGTTTTGTGGTTATTTTTACTTTTTTGCATTAAAAAGCCAGACCTTTATTTTCCAAAGCAATGTTTGTAGACAGGTTTTGTGGTTAAAAATGAATGACACCTATTTAGTTTTTACATTTTATAAGAAAAATAATTTTTTTTTTAGAGGAAATGCATAATACTGTACTTTTTATAATAAGTAACATGTAATTAAAGAAAAATTTGAAAGTTTAAAATATATGTTGAGTGTGTATATAATTAATTTTTTCAGGGGATATTGTGCATTGTTATTCTGTATGGTGCATAATGGAAATCTGAATGCTGCGATCAAAATTAACGATTATGAAGGGGTCTAAAGATTTATCTGCTGATGAGCCAGATTGTTTGAGGTGAGTATTTGAAAACAAATCTGGATTTTCTTGAATTGTTATTCTTTGCAGTATAGTATTATACAAATATGAAATAGTTTTGGCTGTTTTATAACATTTTTTTTTAAGCTCATTGGCCATCTCCCACCATGCTATGGTACCATAAATGAGGAAACATTTAGCATCATTCATGCATTAGACATCTTTCCAGAAGTGCACTGACATCACATTTCCAATGACTCCTGAGCTGTAACATATCCACCACAAGGCCTGGTCACAGACCTAGCCACGGGAGCGTTGATCTCCGAAACCCTCTCTAGGTATACTCCAGGTATCCATCCCCCCTTCAGAGTGTGTTCACTGTACTTCTCACCTCCAGGACTGGCTGTGCAGTTTTCCTGAGAACCTTGCTCATATTCCAACAGCACATCAAATCCCTAAAGCATATGTCTTTACTCACCTAAAAGCTTTTTTCTGGAAGTGTTAGTAACTAGATGGTTACACAGACTGCTGAAATAAGTTAAATGTAAGGGAAAAGATTTTCCTAGATGCTGTTATAAAGGCACTGTAATGTTCTTTTAAATCAAAGATGTTTTACTGCAGGCTCAGAGCACAGCAGCAAGTGGTACAACTGTGGTCATATCAATATGGTCTGCGTCTGCGGCATCTTACACAAGTGGTGGGAAGAAATCTTCAAGGGCATGGCACCCATCCTCGCCCAGTCCCAGCCTCCCCCCTCCCATCAAAACGACCTCGTCCTCCTGCAACCATGGGGTATTAAGTCATTATTCTTTCTTCTTTCTGTAGCTTTGCTTATGTCTTTAATACTTTATGTATTTCTGCATCCAAGAATCTTCTTGTTGATCTGTTGTTGTTATAAAGGGTTTTCATAAGGTAAGTCTTCTTTCAGCAAACCGGCCTTATCCCACCGAGGCTACCCAAAAGGAAAAACAAAAGTTTCTCCTTTTAAATTTAGTAATATATGCAGGTGAAGGGGTTACTACTCCTTGCTCCCAGCATTTTAGTCACCTCTTATGACCTGCATGGCTTACAGAGGAAGAATTCTGTTCCACTTCCCCATGGAGAATAAGGCAAGTATATATGTTCTTCATTAAGGATTGTCTCTGTAAACAAGTTTCATATTCATAGCCATGTACAGTATATACAGTAGTCATGCTTACATGTTCATTACTGTAAATTTTCCTTCTCTCCTATATTACTAAAGCATTTCTTATTTACAAAGGGTCTTCACTTATTATATTCTAGAACCAAAATTAGGTAGTATGTCAATTTTTGGATTAGTGTGCTTGAAATACTTCACATATTAACCCTTAAATGGTCCAAACGTATATATACGTTCACGTGCGTAGCGCCCCAAACGTATATATACGTTTTCTTTGTCATTAATTCAACACTGCCACGATAAGCCTGAGTCGCCTAGACATGAGAGAATGGGTGTGCGCACTCACTGTGCACCTTATTAAAATAATTGGGGATGCCTGGGTACCATATGCTCTTTTTTCCTATTAAAAAAAAAAAAAATTTTTTCTCTCAAAAAATTTGTGGCACTACGCGAGTGAACGTATATATACATGTACGTTTGGATCGTTTAGGGGTTAAATGAGTTTATTTTGAGGATATGGTTGTATCATATAATATTTGTGTCAACTGTATCACACCTGCAACCAAAATGAACTTCTCATTTATTTTAGCTTCTATGTATGGTTCTTAGAGATAAAGCTTTTTATTTGAATTTAATATAAATGAATCAAAAGGTTAACACTAAATTTTAAGACAATTTAAATTATTTTCAGTTATAACTTCACTCTTCATGCTCCATCAAATAAAGAAGAACTCTTTTCAAGTGAACTTCAGAGCACTGCAAATCCAGATTGGCTGGAAATTGAGCCAGAGGGTATAAAAGCTATTCATCAAAGATCTCTGAAAGGTACACTACCCTCTGAAGCAATTTACAAATGTAAATTTATAATTTGCCTAAGGAATATAAATTCTAAGCAGAAGATAAATTTAGTTGTGTAGATATAAAAAAAGTCACTCTATTGAATTATCTTTTAGAGAAACGGTCAATACTTGTACTGTTTACTTCTTTCACTTTATATTGGTATTGTGTACTATTTCTACCAAAGATTTTTTTTGTGTATGCAGGGAATTTGGTATATGGGAAGACATGGTAACAACATATACAATACTGAGAGGAATTGACAAGGTGGATAGGGACAGAATGTTTCAGAGATGGGACACAGCAACAAGAGGTTACAACTGGAAGTTGAAAACTCAGATGAGTCACAGGGATGTTAAGAAGTATTTCTTCAGTCATAGAGTTGTCAGGAAGTGGAACAATTTGGAGAGTGATGTAGTGGAGGCAGAATCAATACATAGCTTAGAAGAGGTATGATAAGGCTATAGAACGGGGAGAGTGACCTAGTAGCAGCTACCAAAGAGGCAGGGCCAGGAGCTGTGAATCGACCCCTGCAATCACATATAGGTGAGTGCGCGCGCGCGCACACACACACCACACACACACACACACACACACACACACACACACACACACACACACACACACACACACACACACACACACACACACACACACACACACACACACACACACACACACACACACACACACACACACACACACACACCACACACACACACACACACACACACACACACACACACACACACACACACACACACACACACACACACACACCACACACACACACACACACACACACACACACACACACACACACACACACACACACACACACACACACACACACACACACACACACACACACATGTAACAAGTGCCTTTGACAACTAGTAACTGCTACTACAGACATACAGGCAAACAGAGATGAGAGGGGAAGAGGAGAGGTAAATACAAATGGTTTATGGAAAAGAAGTACAGTAGGGCCCCACTTATACAGCAGATTAGGTTCCAGGCTACCGCCGTAAAGCGGAAATCGCCGTCAAGTGGAATACCCTTTTATTCCACTTTTTTTTTTTTTAACAAGTTGGACGTCTCCCACCAAGGCAGGGTGACCCAAAAAGAAAATACTTTCATCATCATTCAACACTTTCACCTCACACACACAATCAGTGTTTTTGCAGAGGTGCTCAGAACACAACAAGTTAAAAGCATGTGCATGTAAAGATACACAACATATCCCTCCAAATGGCCAATAACCCAAACAAGTTTACATTAACATATAATAAGTTAGCAATAGAACTAGGTATTAAAAAGCAATAAAAAAGTAAAATACACATATAGTACACTCATTACTAAAAATATTTGTAGTCTTAATCTAGGGTGAGATGAGTAGTATTTATTGTAAGAAATCAAGTGTGGTATGTATGGTAGCCAGCCAGGCTACCATACCAGGCCAACCCACCCACACATAATATTCTATGACATTTAAGTGTCCCAGAGCGATAAAATGCATATACAGTTCACTCATTACTTTTTTTTTTTTTTTTTTTTTTTTTTTCAACAAACCGGCCATATCCCACCAAGGCAAGGTGGCCCACAAAGAAAAACAAAAGTTTCTCTTTTTAAATTTAGTAATTTATACAGGAGAAGGGGTTACTAGCCCCTTGCTCCCGGCATTTTAGTCGCCTCTTACAACACGCATGGCTTACGGAGGAAGAATTCTGTTCCACTTCCCCATGGAGCACTCATTACTTACCTTAAAATATTTATAGTCTTAATGTAGGGTCAGAGGTAAGTAAACAAGATAAAACGAATAAATGAGAGAGAGAATAAGTACGTACATGAGAGGGGACACTCAAGAGTTATGTAAACAAACCAGGCATACGCGAGTTTTGTAAACAAGCCAGGCAAACACGTCTGGTTTGTGTACAAGTTACATTGTGTACAAGTTGTCTCTACATTGATACGGTAGAATAAATAGAGAAACACTCCCATTCTCATGTAACTCCATTTTTAGAAGAAATGACGCTGAGTAAAGGCATATGAAGGGAATAATTTTTTACAGTTACGCCCAGTAACACATTTTCTCTTTATGTTGGACTAGAGAATATATTATTCTTGCCGTCACTCGTACAAGTTGTCTGGCTACCACATCTCATATTCATGTTTATTTATTCTACTGTGGGGTGTATTTATCATCTTTATATGATATGTATAGTGGTTATTATATAATTTTGAAAAAATATCATAGATGGATTAATGAAAATGTGTATATTAACGTAATATATGACATTTAATGAGACTCGGTGATTATTATTGAGTATTATTATTATCATTACTAGTATGTCATCTTGAGACACAAGTCACTCTTACTTATTTTAATATGTACCTGCACACCAGCACAGTGTGTAAGTTTATTTAGGTACAAGTATACATAAGTGCAGTGGACCCCCGCATAACGATATTAATCCGTTCATGAGAGCTCATTGTCATGCGAAATTATCGTTATGCGAATGAATTTTCCCCATAAGAAATAATGGAAATCAAATTAATCCATGCAAGACACCCCAAAGTATGAAAAAAAAACATTTTTACCACGTGAAATATTAATTTTAATACACACAAACTGAAAAAGGCATGCACAATTACATGACACTTACATTTATTGAAGATCTGGTGATGATTGATGGGATGGGAGGAGGAGAGAGTCTTAGTGTTTAGAAGGGGAATCCCCTTCCATTAAGACTTGAGGTGTCAAGTCCTTTTCTGGGGTTACTTCCCTTCTTCTTTTAATGCCACTAGGACCAGCTTCAGAGTCACTGGACTTATTTTTTTTTATTATCACACTGGCCGATTCCCACCAAGGCAGGGTGGCCCGAAAAAGAAAAACTTTCACCATCATTCACTCCATCACTGTCTTGCCAGAAGAGTACTTTTCACTACAGTTTTTAAACTGCAACATTTACACCCCTCCTTCAGAGTGCAGGCACTGTACTTCCCATCTCCAGGACTCAAGTCCGGCCTGCCGGTTTCCCTGAACCCCTTCATAAATGTTACTTTGCTTACACTCCAACAGCACGTCAAGTATTAAAAACCATTTGTCTCCATTCACTCCTATCAAACACGCTCACGCATGCCTGCTGGAAGTCCAAGCCCCTCGCACACAAAACCTCCTTTACCCCCTCCCTCCAACCTTTCCTAGGCTGACCCCTACCCCGCCTTCCTTCCACTACAGACTGATACACTCTTGAAGTCATTCTGTTTCGCTCCATTCTCTCTACATGTCCGAACCACCTCAACAACCCTTCCTCAGCCCTCTGGACAACAGTTTTGGTAATCCCGCACCTCCTCCTAACTTCCAAACTACGAATTCTCTGCATTATATTCACACCACACATTGCCCTCAGACATGACATCTCCACTGCCTCCAGCCTTCTCCTCGCTGCAACATTCATCACCCATTCTTCACACCCATATAAGAGCGTTGGTAAAACTATACTCTCATACATTCCCCTCTTTGCCTCCAAGGACTTCTGTCGCACAATATATCTGTCCATAGTGGCCTGTACATCTCGTTCCTTTATGACTTCCCTAAAGTGTTTCACAACATTGTCAGTGTAATAGTCACCAGCACGGCTTGCAATAGCTGTGTGAGGGTGATTTTCATCCATAAAGGTTTGCACTTTCAGCCACATTGCACAGATTTCCTTAATCTTTGTAGTAGGCAACTTCTTCAATTTCTCTCTCCCCTCCTCCGAACCAGTTTCCTCAGGTCTGGCCTCTTGCTGTTGAAGTTGACCTAGCAGCTCATCATTGGTTAGTTCTTCATTGTCCTCCTCCACCAACTCTTCCACATCATCCCCACTAACCTCCAACCCCAAGGACTTCCCCAATGCCACAATTGATTCCTCAACTGGCATAGGATTCCTAGGGTTAGCCTTAAACCCTTCAAAATCCCTTTGGTCTACACATTCTGGCCACAGTTTCTTCCAAGCAGAGTTCTATGTCCTCTTAGTCACTCCCTCCCAAGCCTTACCTATAAGGTTTACACAATTGAGGATATTAAAGTGCTCTCTCCAAAACTCTCTTAGAGTCAGTTGAGTTTCTGAGGTCACTACAAAGCACCTTTCAAACAGAGCTTTTGTGTACATTTTTTTGAAGTTTGCAATAACCTGCTGCTCCATGGGCTGCAGGAGAGGAGTGGTATTAGGAGGCAAAAACTTGACCTTAATGAAGCTCATGTCCCCATAAAGTCGCTCTGCCACGTCTGTAGGATGACCAGGGGCATTGTCTAACACCAGGAGGCACTTAAGGTCTAATTTCTTTTCAGTTAGGTAATCTTTCACATTGGGGGCAAATGCATGGTGTAACCAGTCATAGAAAAAGTCCCTAGTGACCCATGCCTTACTGTTTGCCCTCCACAGCACACACAAATTAGCCTTGAGGATATTCTTTTGCCTGAACGCTCTGGGAGTTTCTGAGTGATACACTAATAAAGGCTTCACTTTGCAATCACCACTAGCATTGGAACACATCAACAGAGTAAGCTTGTCTTTCATAGGCTTATGTCCTGGGAGTGCCTTTTCCTCCTGAGTAATGTAGGTCCTGCTTGGCATTTTCTTCCAAAACAGGCCTGTTTCATCACAATTAAACACTTGTTCAGGTTTCAGTCCTTCACTGTCTATGTACTCCTTGAATTCCTGCACAAATTTTTCAGCTGCTTTGTGGTCCGAACTGGCAGCCTCACCATGCCTTATCACAGTATGTATGCCACTATGCTTCTTAAATCTCTCAAACCAACCTTTGCTGGCCTTAAATTCACTCACATCATCACTAGTTGCAGGCATTTTTCTAATTAAATCCTGATGCAACTTCCTAGCCTTTTCACTTATGATCACTTGAGAGATGCTTTCTCCTGTTATCTGTTTTTCATTTATCCACACCAATAAGAGTCTCTCAGCATCTTCCATCTTCGATCTCTGTTTTGAAAACACAGTTGAACCTTTGGCAAGAACAGCTTCCTTGATTGCCTTTTTGTTGCCCACAATAGTAGCGATGGTTGATTGGGGTTTATTATACAACCTGGCCAGCTCGGAGACACGCACTCCACTTTCATACTTACAATGATCTCTTTCTTCATCTCTATAGTAATTCTCACCCTTATTCCTGTAGGGTTGGCACTAGAAGCTTTCTTGGGGCCCATGGTCACTTATTTTGCAGATAAAATCACCAAAAACACTGTAATAATATGAAATGTTCTGATTGTATGCTTGGATGTTACCGCGGAGGCTGGCTGGTAAACAATGACACTGGCGGAACATGTGAGGCTGGCTAAGGCCGTACATTAGACGCGTCTCGGACGAACAGCGTTGAGCGGGTTTTTTAGCGGTATGCGAGGCAAAATCTTAGCGATAAAATGTATCGGTATGCGGATTTAACGTTATGTAAGGCCAATGGTATGCGGGGGTCCACTGTATAATTATCAGATAACATGTATATATAAAATGTGAAATAATTTTTAAAAACACTTGAAATTTGGGAGTTTTCAGACATAATGGAGAGATGTAGTGCTTACAGAGCTCACAGAGAATGTAAACAAACCAAGTGGGGCATGGTGACTGTATTAGAAAGTCATGTGTGGGGAGCCGTATAGAGAGTTTTGGTCATAATTTGAAATGATCGTATTATTAGCAGAACACCGTAAAGAGAAACGCCGTAAAGCGAGGCCCTACTGTACAGTGTGTACATATGGTAATTGCCAATATTTTAAGGCGGGGTGGCCCAAAAGGAAAAATGAAAGTTTCTCCTTTTACATTTAGTAATATATACAGGAGAAGGGGTTACTAGCCCCTTGCTCCCGGCATATTAGTCGCCTCTTACGACACGCATGGCTTACGGAGGAAGAATTCTGTTCCACTTCCCCATGGAGATAAGAGGAAATAAACAAGAACAAGAACTAGAAAGAAAATAGAAGAAAACCCAGAGGAGTGTGTATGTATATATATGCTTGTACATGTGTGTGTAGTGTGACCTAAGTGTAAGTAGAAGTAACAAGACTTACCTGAAACCTTGCATGTTCAAGAGACAGAAAAATGGACACCAGCAATCCTACCATCATGTAAAACAATTACAGGCTTTTGTAGGTTACACCCTTGCAGCCGGTCAGTACTCCTGTGCTCTTTACCGACACGCATGAAGCTAGAAAGAATCTGGTTCACCATGAATAAAGAAAAATACTAAAACTAAAAACTAGAAAAAAAAAAATAGAAACCTTCGGATGCTTGTTATTATATATATACATTGTACATGTTTTGTATGGTGAACCTAAGTAGTAGGTTGAGTAACAAGCGGACTTACTGAAACCTTGCATGTTAAAAGAAACGAATAAATGGAAGCTGCACAATTTTCTGTCATCATGTAAAACAATTTACAGGCTCTTGTTTACACTACACTTGGCAGAACGTGTAAGAATATACACCCCTGGGTGTTGCTTGTTATTTCCACTTACTACCTAGGAAGCTAGAAAGAATTCCTAAAATGGTTTCAAATGAGAAAAAAAATACTGCAACTATAACTAAAAATGTTCATGTATATAAAAAAAAAAAAGACGCAAACCTTTCGTATTTTCTTCTTTTCTGCACTCACTACTGATACACTAGTGATTTAAAGATTTGATAGTATGTAACTCTTTATTGTCAAGTGCTGAAAAAAGTCATAGGTAATAACATTGTAAATCTTATTCTCTCCCTATCTATATGCAGTACTGATCTTCATTATATGGTTTCCTTAAGGGTAAAGTGTTGGTAAAAACTCATTTCTATTAGTAATACCATTATATTAATACATTTTGATATGTTAATGCAGTTTCATATTTTAACAGGTATCTTGATTCGATTGTGGTTTACTCCAGAAGGGGAAAATGCTCAGCTTGTAACTACTTGGGGAGTACATTTCAGTGGTTTAGTTCCCGTTGGTGCAGTACTGCCCTATGACCACGAGAAGTACAAGCCAAATACATTAGTTTTCAAATTGAGAGACTTATTCTACACAGCGCCAGAGAATTATCTCTACACTCCCTCTGAAAAATCACCACCACGACTTTGTTATGGATTTGTATTACCATTGTTAGAGACAAAGCGATGTTATACTGTTAGTGCTCTATCAAGGTTAGTTCCAGACTGAAATTTTATAATCTGTACAATACTTACATATCTGTAGCTACAGAAGCGGAGCTTATCATGACTCAAAACTGTAATAACATGATTGCTTAGTAGTTTTAGGATTGTCTTGCCATAGATTTGAGCTCCACCCATTCTGGGATTTGATTAGAGCTTATCCTCGGTATATCACTTCTTTTGTAATACATGTATTTTATGGTTGTAACACATGGTACTGTCTCTTTATTTCCATTCCACCTGTAAACTATTTTGTTTGTAAAGAAATATTTCTTAATGTTACTTCTCATTTCTGAAAGAAATACAGTTGACCCTTGAACAACACAGGAGTTAGGGGTGCCGATCCCCTTCACAGTGGAAAATCCACTTATAACTTATGACTCCCCAAAAACTTAACTACAGTAGGACCCCCATATCTGCGGGTCTGGCATCCACGGTTTCAGTTATCTGCAGTTTACCGTGGCCCGAAAATAACCCTTAATTTTGCTTGATGTGGCATCAGAGGTCAAAAGTAATGATGGTGGAAGGTCTTCAGACCCTAAGAGAAGCCATGAAGTTCTTCCCATTAGTGAAAAAGTGATAATTCTCCCCTTAATATGCATAATTTTGCAATTAAACTTTATAATAGGTATGTATGTAAACAAAAAACGACACATGTAGGATTCGTTACTATCCATGGTTTTGGTATCCATGGCAGGTCCTTGGAATGTATCCCCCGTGGATACAGGGGTCCTTCTGTACTAATAGCCAACCATTGACAGGAGGAATCTTTACCAATAATATAAACAGTCGAAGAACACACATTTTATATTCTTCTTTCAACAAACTGGCCGTATCCTACCGAGGCAGCGTAGCCAAAAAGTTCACCCATGTATTTGGGAAAAATGCAAATTCTGGACGCTGTTAAAAAAAATGCCTGTAAATGCCCATTTTTATAGTTTAAACCTTAAGTATGCCCCCAAAACACTTTAACCCTTTCAGCGTCCGTACCGTAGATCTACAGCTTTACGTTGAAGGTCCAAACCGTAGATCTACGCTATGAGCTCAGCTCAGCTCTGATAAGCTGTGAGTGGTAAATTTGGGCCTAGATATGAGAGAATACATCTATATGGTATGTGTGCACCACATAAAACAAATACTGCAGCACACAGTGCATAATGAGAGAAAAAAAGAGACCGTAATTTTCGATTAAAACAGTAACTTTGCAGTGTTTTTTTGTATGTTTTTTATGGTTGTATTTGCGATTTCTTGGTTTCATTTGATAGAATGGAAGATATATTATAGAAATAGAGATGATTTTGATTGGTTTTAGTACTGGAAATGGCTTGAAACTGAGCTCAAACTAGCAGAAATATTAAATTTTTGCCGATGTTCAAGTGGAAACAAATGACCTCACACATCTAATACACACCAGCTGGTGGGTCAGATATATGTTCACAAATGTGATGATATTATTTATACAATTATTACAATATTGCATAACAGTAAATCTTCTATATTTTGGTTTGAATAAAAATTCATTATGTGAATAAAAAATCAAAATGGAATTCATTTGTAAAGCCTGAAAACATAACTTATGAACAGAGGAAATGTTAGTTTAGTGCCAGGAATGCCTGCATTGTTTATTCTGGACCCTATTTTGAAATTGGAATATTTTGAACTTTGTGTTAAATTGGCCAAATTACCAATTTCCGATCACTATATTTTGTAGTTGAAACAGTTGACTTGGTGATTTCTTGTGCTCAATCGATATAATTGAAATAATACTAGTGAAATAGCTAAGAATTTGGTCGACTGGAATAATGTAGTTGGCCTAAAATGGGAGTCAAAGTCGGCAAAATCACCGATGCATAAATATTGCTGACAGAATTCGCGAGAGCATAATTTCGTAAATTTTCCATCAAATTTCGTACTTTTCATTTTATTATCTTCAGAAAAAGATTCTCTACCATTTCATAAGAAAAAATAACAAAATTATTTTTTGAAAATTCTTGGACCATGGTGCACACTTTGAAATTTGGCATCTGGACTCTGAATGGGTTAATTTCAAACTCGGCTTTATACATTTCTTTTTTTTTAACAAGTCGGCCGTCTCCCACCGAGGCAGGGTGACCCAAAAAGAAAGAAAATCCCCAAAAAGAAAATACTTTCATCATCATTCAACACTTTAACCTCACTCACACATAATCACTGTTTTTGCAGAGGTGGTCAGAATAAAACAGTTCAGAAGCATATACGTATAAAGATACACAATGTATCCCTCCAAACTGCCAATATCCCTAACCCCTCCTTTAATATGCAGGCATCGTACTTCCCATTTCCAGGACTCAAGTGGGGCTATATAAAAATAACCAGTTTCCCTGAATCCCTTCACTAAATATCACCCTGCTCACATTCCAACTGCTCGTCAGGTCCCAAATGCCATTTGTCTCCATTCATTCCTATCTAACACGCTCACTCATGCTTGCTGGAAGTCCAAGCCCCTCCCCCACAAAACCTCCTTTACCCCCTCCCTCCAACTTTTTTGAGGACGACCCCTACCCCGCCTTCCTTTCCCTACAGATTTATACGCTCTCCATGTCATTCTACTTTGATCCATTCTCTCTAAATGACCAAACCACCTCAACAACCCCTCTTCAGCCCTCTGACTAATACTTTTATTAACTCCACACCTTCTCCTAATTTCCACACTCCGAATTTTCTGCATAATATTTACACCACACACACAAAAAAAAAAGAATGTAAAGATAAACCCCTATACAGTACTGTACTGCTATGTCTCTCACAGTGCTAGAATGTAAAATGCCAATGTTACCCCCATGTGTACTGTAATTTATGCAAGCCCATTTTCTTTGGTATACTGTAATTCATTCAACACCATTTTCTTTCGTATACATACGGTAAATACGTACACAGTAATAATTTAATTTGGTAAAAGTAAATTTAAATGTATGTATTTTATGTGGAAATTTTGCAGAAAGGTGGGCTAGTGCAAAGATGAGTAGTGGGGGGGTTGAAGAGGGTTGGAATAGTTTTAAAAATGCAGTATTAGAATGTGGGGCAGAAGTTTGTGGTTATAGGAGGGTGGGGGCAGGAGGAAAGAGGAGTGATTGGTGGAAGATGAAGTAAAGGGGTGATAAAAGAGAAAAAGGTAGCTTACGAAGGTTTTTACAAAGCAGAAGTGTTATAAGAAGAGCAGAGTATATGGAGAGAAAAAGAAAGGTGAAGAGAGTGTGAGAGAGGCAAAAGGAGAGCAGATGAAAGAGTGGGAGAGGCACTGTCAAAAATTTTAATGAAAATAAGAAAAATTTTGGAGTGAGTAAACAAGTTAAGAAAGCCTAGGGAAAGTATGGATTTTCAGTTAAAAACAGAGTAGGGGAGTTAGTAAAATGGGGAGAGGGGGGTATTAGTAGATGGCGAGAATATTTTGGGGAACTTTTAAATGTTAAGGAAGAAAGGGAGGGGGTAATTTCAGCACTGGCCAGGGAGGTATACCATCTTTTAGGAGTGAAGAAGAGCAGAATGTAAGTGTGGTGGGGGTACGTGAGGCATTACGTAAATGAAAGGGGGGTAAAGCGCTGGAACTGATGGGATCATGACAGAAATTTTTAAAAGCAGGGGGGATATAGTGTTTGGAGTGGTTGGTACTTTTGTTTAATAAATGAAATGAAAGGGGGGAAGGTACCTAGGGATTGGCGGAGAGCATGTATAGTCCCTTTATATAAAGGAAAGGGGACAAAAGAGATTGTAAAAATTATAGAGGAATAAGTTTACTGAGTATACCAGGAAAAGTAAAACGGTAGGGTATAATTGAAAGAATTAGAGGAAAGCAGAATGTAGAATTGCGGACGAGCAAGGGGGCTTCAGAGTGGGTAGGGATGTGTAGATCAAGTGTTTACATTGAAGCATATATGTGAACAGTATTTAGAAAAAGGGTAGGGAAGTTTTTTTTTGCATTTAGGATTTAGAAAAGGCATATGATAGAGTGGATAGAGGACAATGTGGCAGATGTTGCAAGTATATGAAGGGGGTTGTAAGTTACTAAATGCTGAAAAGAGCTTTATGAGGATAGTGGGGCTCAGGTTAGGGTGTGTAGAAGAGAGGAAAAATACTTCCCGGTAAAAGTAGGTCTTAGACAGGGATGTGTAATGTCACCAGGGTTTTGTTTAATATATTTTATAGATGGGGTTGTAAAAGAAGTAAATTGCTAGGGTGTTCGGAGAGGGTGGGATTAATTATGGGAATCAAATTCAAAAGGGGAAATTGACACAGTTACTTTTTGCTGATGATACTGTGCTTATGGGAGATTCTAAAGAAAAATTACAAAGGTTAGTGGATGAGTTTGGAATGTGTGTAAAGGTAGAAAGTTGAAAGTGAACATAGAAAAGAGTAAGGTGATGAGGGTATCAAATGATTTAGATAAAGAAAAATTGGATATCAAATTGGGGAAGAGGAGTATGGAAGAAGTGAATGTTTTCAGATACTTGGGAGTTGACGTGTCGGCGGAGGGATTTATGAAGGATGAGGTTAATCATAGAATTGATGAGGGAAAAAAGGTGAGTGGTGCGTTGAGGTATATGTGGAGCCCAAAAAACGTTATCAATGGAGGCAAAGAAGGGAATGTATGAAAGTATAGTAGTACCAACACTCTTATATGGATGTGAAGCTTGGGTGGAAAAATGCAGCAGCGAGGAGACGGTTGGAGGCAGTGGAGATGTCCTGTCTAAGGGCAATGTGTGGTGTAAATATTATGCAGAAAATTCGGAGTGTGGAAATTAGGAGAAGGTGTGGAGTTAATAAAAGCATTAGTCAGAGGGCAGAAGAGGGGTTGTTGGGGTGGTTTGGTCCATTTAGAGAGAATGGATCAAAGTAAATGACATGGAAAGCATATAAATCAAAGGGGGAAGGAAAGGGGGGTAGGGTCGTCCTCGAAAGGGTTGGAAAGAGGGGTAAAGGGGGTTTTTGTGGGTGAGGGGCTTGGACTTCCAGCA